GCCCCGCTCTGGGCGCAGCGCCCGCGGTCGGGGTTCCTCCTGGGGACACCGGCCTGGCGGTGTCCGGGTAGGGCCCTGGGTGGCTCCAGCCCCTCCTGCAGCCCGCAGGCCCGGCGCGGCTGTGGAAGCCTCCCCGTCGCGGGCGGGAGGGTACTCTCCCTGGGGTCAGGTGTGGAGAGCTCCAGCGTCCACTGCCCTGGGCCAGGCAGGGAGACTGTTTCGGGGCTGCCCCCTCGGCCAGCCAGAGGGCCGCTGCAATTCCTCTGGGGAGCCACAGTCAGGCCCTGCTGGCCTCCTCAGCAGGGGACTCCCGCGAGGCCTGGGAGGCCTGGGCGCCCGGCTGTCCTGGCGCATGGGCGGCGTCCTGCCCCAGGGGCACGGTGACAGGGCCAGCGGCCAGAGGGGAGGCACCGGGAAGCTCCCAGAAGCGGCGGGCCCGGGAGGGCTCGGGCCCAGCCTCTGTGCTCGTCTGGCCAGGAGCCGCTCCTGCACCAGCACCTGGCGGGGCTCAGGCCCACCGGGTCTGGGGGGACTCGGCGGCGGTTCGCACTTCTCAGGGACCTGAGTGGTTCTGTCTTTTCAGGTCTGATCGACGACTACAAAAACCTCCACGGCAACGGGCCCCCTGGCACCACGGCCACTTCCCGCTGGCAGCCGCCCGCCTACAACAGCAGCAGGGCCTTTGGCACCCGCTACCCGCGTCCAGGCCGCAGGGCTTTCCCCCTGAATCACGGCGCTGAGTGGCGCAAGAAATACTCGCTTGTGAATCGGCCCCCAGGGTCCTTGGATCGACCCGGGGAAGGTGCTGCACAGCCCTCCTGCAGGGCGGGCGGCAGCCAGGAGCCCGGCCCCCAGCAGTACGTCCTGGAGCGGCAGGTCCAGCTCAGCCCTGACCAAAACATGGTCATCAAGATCAAACCGACATCGAAGCCAGGCTCAGCTAGCGCCTCAGAGGTCCCGCGGGGCTCCCTGGAAGGGGACCAGGATGCTCCCCAGGGTGACCCTCGGCCTCAGGAGGGTGAGGGGGAGCCTCCAGGTGGGCAGCGACAGCCCTCCAGGCCCGCCCGAGCCAGGGGCTGCTGCAGCGCCGAGGACCCACTGCTCGTCTGCCGGAAGGAGGCCGGCAAGACCCGGGCGGCGAAGCTCCTGGGCAGTGTGGGCGATAGCTCCCCGGAGCCCAGGCGGACAGTCAGCGAGAGTGCGATTGTGGTCAAGGGCCGCTGCTCGCCCTCTGCTCCGGCCCCGCGCCGGAAGGGGGCCCCTCAGGCTGGGGCCAGCTGTGCTGCACAGCTCCTTGGGGACGGGAGAGCCAGCGCCGGCCATCCAAGGCAGCCGGCTGCCTCCGGCTTGGGGGCGGCCCTGGCCAGGCCAGCCTCTGGGCCCAGGCAGACACGAGAGGCCTCGCATCCTGGGCCTTGTCGAGCCAGCAAGTTCCAGAAAAGCAACTACAAATGGGTGGCCGCCTCGGCGAAGAGCCCGCGGGCCCCTCGGAGGGCGCTCAGCCCGCGGGCGGCTGTGGGCAACGGCTGCAGGGCCCCGCTCGGCACGGCGGAGGCGGCGGAGAAGCCCGAGCTCGGGGCGGGCCTGGACGCCAAGGGCCAGAGGCCAGCGGCGCCCTCCACACCCGGGGCCTCCCCCAGCAAGTACAAGTGGAAGGCCTCCAGCCCCTCCGCCTCCGCCGCCTCCTCCCACTGGCCGTCGGAGGGCAGCAGCAAGGACCGCGCCTCCCGGCTTTCTCCCGTCCCGTCGAGGTCGCCCCCGGGGGGCCGGGCCGCAGGGGCGCCCAGTAGCTCGAAGCCCCTCCTCGGCGAGCCCTCGCTCTCTGCTTACAAAGTGAAGAGCCGAACCAAGATCATCCGGAAGCGGACGGGCGCCAGGTGGCTTGCCGCACCCGGGGACCTGTGGGCGGGGGTGGGGGGGCGGAGGGAGCCCCGGGGGTCACCATAGTGGGCAGCGCAATGGGGACCCTGGTCTGCAGGGCTGCATTTGTCTTCCAGGGAGTACAAATCCCATGATGCCATCACCATTGAAGGGAGGATGCTGGGAACCGAGGGTGGAGTCAGCAGCCAGGCTTGGTGTGTGACCACCTGTGGGCG